GTATAACGGGACCACAGACCCCAATGAACACGTTACCGCTTATACTTGTGCTGTAAAGGGGAATGACTTAAAGGATGACAAGATTGAATCTGTCTTGCTGAAGAAATTTGGAGAGACACTGTCGAAAGGGGCCATGACGTGGTATCACCACCTACCCCCGAACTCGATAGATTTATTTGCCATGTTGGCAGACTCTTTTATGAGGGCACACGCCGGTGCCATCAAGGTCGCCACTAAGAAGTCCGATGTCTTCAAAATCAAACAGAGAGAAAATGAGATGCTAAGGGAATTTGTATCTCGCTTTCAGATGGAGCAAATGGAATTACCGCCAGTCTCCGACGACTAGGCAGTACAGGCCTTCACTCAGGGCTTGAACGAGCAAAGCTCGGTAGCTTCGAAGCAGCTAAAACAAAATTCGATCGAGTATCTCGCCGTAACCTGGGCGGATGTGCACAACAGGTATCAGTCGAAGATCAGGGTCGAAGACGACCAATTGGGAGCCCCTTCGGGCTCAATATATCCTAGCAGGCTCGTAACAAAGGAACAAAGGTTTGCAGAAAGGGAGCCAAGACCAAACAAGGAAAGATACCAGCCGTATGTAGAAGATCGAAGGAACGCCCCGAAACGTAACATACCTCGCGGCGATCGAAGGACAGATCGGGGTCAAAATTCTCGGGGACTCATGAATAAAACCGGGTTCGATAGGCACACTGGGCCAGTAGGATCACCCCGCTATCCGAGTACAACTTCAACATCGATGTCTCGGACATCGTGTCGGCCATAGGTAAAATCAAAGATACCAGGTGGCTAAGACCCATACTGTCAGACCCTTTACAGAGAAACCCTAACTTGGTTTGCAAATATCACAGCACTCACAGTCATAGGACCGAGGACTGCAGACAGCTTCGAGAAGAGGTAGCCCGACTGATCAGCGAAGGGCACCTTCGAGAGTTCCTCAGCGATCGAGCTAAAAACCAACTTCGAGAAAGAGAGGCGAACAGGAAGAACAAACCAGAAGAGCCACAACATGTCATCCATATGATCATCGGAGGGATCGACGCCCCGCAGGGACCCATTGTCAAACGAACGGAAATATCCATCACTAGGGAAAATCGAACTCAGAGTTACATAGAGGATGCTCTCACGTTCAACGAAGAGAACGTCGAGAACTTGTCTCAGCCTCATAATGACGCACTGGTAATTTCTTTTCTTTTGAATAAATTTCAAATTAAACGTGTGCTCATGGACCCAGGTAGCTCGGCCAACACAATCAGGTCGAGGGTGGTGGAGCAGCTCAGACTGCTCGACCAGATCGTACCCGCCTCTCGAGTCCTCAATGGATTCAACATGGCGAGCGAGACGACGAAAGGGGAGATCATCCTCCCGGTCAACATGGCCGGTGCAATCCAAGATACCAAGTTTCATGTCATCGAAGGAGACATAAGATACAACGCCTTGCTTGGAAGGCCATGGATACACAACATGAGGGCAGTGCCGTCAACCCTCCATCAAATGATGAAATTTCCAACCAAGGATGGAGTAAAAGCAGTGTACGGAGAGCAGCATGTAGCAAGAGAGATGTTCGCGGTACACAACATGACACCAGCATCGGCGCCCTCTACACCAAAAAGGCCAAAAGTCAAGCAAACAGCCGAATAGCAACCACAACCGACATTCTCGGCTACATCTGAATAAGGGAACAAAGGACCGTACCGCATCCTCGAAGCAAGCAATTAGAACGTATCTGGGCTCGAACGCTATCATTGCTAAGGTACAACCCTCCCCATTTTCATTCACGTTTTACACTAACTTATTGCAGGAATTCAATCGAAAGGAATCAAAACACCCTCCAGATCGAAAACCTTGGGTTTTAAAGCATGCGTTGCGCTCTTTTTCCCTTGGACCTGATTTTATCCCGAACGGGTTTTACGGCGAGGTTTTTAACGAGGCAATACCCATATGCTACCTAAGGAGAACTCATCAAGTATTCAAGGTTTCTCTTCAATCAACCTCAAATACTGAGGGGGCATCACCCCAGGAGGTCACCCCTCTTAAGAAATCAAACTATGCCTAGGAGGACCTCGACATGAGAATGTTGTATTGGGCCAAACGGTCAAATAAACTGTGTCCATATAGAATAATCGAGCCTCCAAAAGCAAAAAACATGTACGCATATATCAAGTAATCGAGGAAGCCTCTTTGCTTTTCAAAACACTTTGCGCTTCGAAGAAGTTCACTACTATCGCGCAAAATGGCCCATGAGCCAAAAAACTCTCGAATACTCGGGGACTGTCTTCGACAGTCAGCTCATCGAGTCGTCAAAAACTCGAAATGGTAAGACCTTGATCAGGCAACCTCGAGCTCATAAGCCCTCACTAAGGCAACATCAAATTTACAAGTCCTCAACAAGGCATGCTCAAATCTATAAGACCTTAAAAAAAGGCATAACCCCCGACATTAAGGCCAAGGCTATATATTCGAACTTGTAAGACCCCTAAAAAGGCATACCCTCTGTATAGACGCCAAGGTCACCGCACACGGGGACTAAAGGCTACGGTCAAACATAAAGACTACGGTCGAACAAAAAGGCTACGATCGAATTAATGCGGCTCGGAGATGTCCGACTGCTGCCATAAAACTAAAGGCCTCCAAATACTTCGAAAGATCGAAGCCCTTACCATGAATCTGCTCGAGAGTTTCTCTTCGGGATCTGCATCGGACATATTCATTACTCCTCTTCTCTCGATCAAAAGCCCCCCTCAACTTTGCACGAGCCTCAATAACATCCTTCAAATAGATGGCCACCTTCTTATCGGCCTTGGCTCGGACCCCTTCAACTTCGGCTCGAGCGTCCACAACCTCGGCCTTCATCTTCAAAAGATCTGTCTCAAGCTTAGCAATTCTGCTTGTCTGAACCAAGTTGCTTTCTCGAACATTACCAAGTTGTATCTCAAGGGCGGAGGCCTTAGCCAAAGCATTCCTTTTGGCCACAACATGAGCATCTATCTGTGCCTTCAACTCGTTGCATTCAGAATTTGCCTGGTTGGCTTCACCCCGAAGGCATTCCAAAGCCTTAGCCTTTTCCTGTAACTGAGATATCGAAACATTAGTTCACGGAGTTGGGAGAAGAAGCATGTACTCTTCCAAAACATGGGTTACCTATTTCTCGATCTTGCCTTCGTAATCACAACATCGGTTCAGCTCCGATCGAAGGTGTATCAGCTCTCTTGCCTTCTTGTCACAAAAAAGACTGAGAGATCTCTCCCAATTCAAAGCTTTACGCAACTTCGCCTCATAGCGAAGCAACTCAGACTTGAGCTTATCAAAGGCCTATGAGAAGGAAGGTTCGGTCAAAAATAAGAAAATACGAAGTTGGAAGAGCAAAAATAAACTCAAAACACACAATAGAGTAGAGTCGCTGAGCTTTCTCGAAGGTCGATTTCGCATCTACCGGATCGGTCTCATTGGCCCCGATAGAGCAACCCGAGGCGCCCTGTCCGGGCGGGGACATGACAAAGTCCATCTCCCTCGGGGTACTTCCCGTCGCCCGAGAACCAGCTGCCAAATCAGGTAATGAAGGATCTTCGCCCCTCCTCTCTTGTGGAATCTCTCCCTCGAGATTATGGGCTTCGAGCCTAGCAGGGTCAACAATCTCGGGAGGCCTCCTGGTTCGAGCCGTCATTATAGAATCATCCTCTCTGGATACGCTGATGTCCTCAGAGCTTCCGATATAAATGAGATCTTCGTCAGCGGCAACGCCCTCCTCGGGCCCCCAAGCAGATCTTGCCTTGCTATAAGAATCCTCGTCCTTCGAGGACCTCTTTCTCTTATTATCCTCCCTTTATTCGGAAGTCGATCCTCGGGCCCCCGAGCAAATCCTGTCTTGCTATAAGAATCCTCGTCCTTCGAGGACCTCTTTCTCTTATTATCCTCCCTTGATTCGGAAGTCGAAGGTCCTTCCTCCTCCTTGTAGAGGGACGGTCTCACCTCAGAAAACTCACTGATGCCTGCAAACAAAGAAATTAGCACACGTAAAGGAAAGTACCCTTCAAGAGAAGGACTACGTTGCACATACCATGATGCTTAGCCTCCCATTTGCCCTTCGACAAATCTCGCCACTTGCGCNACAAGGCAAACTGATGAGTACCGATACTTGCTCGATAAAATTGGCTCGCTCCTGGGGCACTTTCCCCGAACTTGCTCGAAGGTTATCCAGCTCCCCCTCCCTTCGGCCAAAATTAGAGAATTCGACTTTGAGGCTACTGTGGCACACCATGCCCGGCCTCGAAGGGCTCGAAGTGGAACTTGAGGGCAGACCCTGAATTGCTCCCCTCGAGGGGGCACATCGAAGGACGATTTCGGAGCGGCACGAGTCGGTGATCGTCATGGAAAGGCAGGAAACCCCCCAGGGCACACGATAAGGACTGACAAAGTCTGCAAGAATAGTACAAATCCGCACTGAGCCGTTATACGGTTGTACTAGTAGCATTTATTCGTCATTTATTAGACATGTACTATGTTGGGATTCACCCTCCTATATAAAGGGGACCTTTGTCATTTTGTAAGACCAGGATATTGAATAATATACAACATTCTCTGCTCTCTTTGATAAAACAACTGTTCTTCACATTTATTGCTTATTCTTACATTGTTCATTCATTGTTCATATATTCTTCTTCATTTTGTTGCTCATTATTAATTGTAAAAGGCCATCTTTAAGGCCCTTATTACCATTGATTCTTTATCAATAGTTCATCGTTATTATCCCCATATAGACCTCGAGGCCCTGCTCCAGCCGGCTCGAGATCTAGCCCTGTGATCCTATTGGTTTGCATATCTTATCCTCTTTACTTATACCTAGCATCTATTGCTTAACAACTAGTACTAAAATAAATCACGTATTTTTAGAACCACAAAATCAAATATAATTGTAGTTACCATTTTCAAGGTAAATAATTTGTCCGTACTAGATGGGGCTTTCGGCTACATTTTGGGACAACATGACGAGACAGGAAGAAATGAGCAAGTATATATTACTTGAGTAAGAAGTTCACGCCTTATGAAGTACAGTATTCTCTGCTAGAACGCACTTGCTGTGCTTTGACATGGACAACCCAGAAATTGAGGCATTACTTTTGTGCCTATACCACATACCTCATATCAAGAATGGATCCTCTGAAGTACATCTTTCAGAAGCCCATGCCTATCGGGAAGTTAGCTAAATGGCAGATATTGTTAAGTGAGTTCGATATCATCTATCTATCTCAAAAGGCAGTCAAAGGACAAGCATTGGAAGACCATCTTGCTGAAAATCCTGTGGGAGGAGAATACGAACCACTAAAAACGTATTTTCCCGACGAAGAAGTGTCATTCATAGGAGAGGACATTGCTGAAGCCTATGGCGGTTGGAGAATGTTCTTCGACGGAGCTGCAAACTTCAAAGGAGTGGGTATTGGAGCAGTCTTGGTATCAGATACAGGTCAACATTATCTGGTATCCGCAAAGCTTAGGTTTCCGTGCACCAACAATATGGCAGGGAGGAGAGACTATGGATGGGGAGAAGCTTGGATCGTGGGGCTCAATTTGGCCATCTATATGAATATACAAGAGTTGCTGGTAATTGGTGATTCAGATCTTCTGGTACATCTGGTTCAAGGAGATTGGGCTACGAAAACACCAAGATACTACCATACTTGTATCATGTGCAAGAGTTGATGAAGAGGTTCACAAAGATAGAATTCAAACATGTTCCAAGAGTCCAGAACGAGTTCGCAAACGCACTGGCCACCTTGTCATCAATGATACAACATCCAGACAAGAATTTCATCGATCCCATCCCGGTGAAGATCCATAATCAAACGGCTTACTGTGCTCATGTTGAAGAAGAAATGGATGGAAAACCTTGGTTCCACGACATCAAGGAATATTTGGCAAAAGGAGAATACCCAGAACAGGTGAACCATACTCAGAAACACACACTGCGGAGGCTGTGCAATCACTTCTTCCAAAGCGGAGGAACCCTGTATAGAAGAACTCCTGATCAGGGATTGTTAAGATGTGTTGACGCAAAAGAGGCTTCCAAATTTCTCGAGGAGATACATGCCGGAACCTTCGGACCATACATGAACGGTTTTGTTCTAGCAAAAAGATANTCCCAATAGAGGTCCTAATACCTCCAGGACCATAGGTAAGGGATGGGTAATGCACGCATAGGGTACGGTTTATAATCAATTAGTGCGCTTAAGTAACAATTTGAAGATAGTAATTGGGTAGTAAAGGAAATGATAGCCCATGCGCTAATGCTATGAGTAAAACCCCGACTTGAGGGAGTTGCAAAGCATTGCATGGAATGATCCTATAGGCTAAAAAAACTTAGGACCACCCCTGTACCCTCGTTTAATGTAAGTTGAATATTGTATTTGTCCAAATTGTTCTCTTCTCCTTTAAGACTAATTCACTTAATTAAGTTCGGCCGGGACCCACCGTTGTGGACCTCAAGGGGTGCCTAACACCTTCCTCTCAAGGTAATTTCGAGCCCTTACCCAATCTCTGGTAATGTAGACTAGTTATATTAGTTAATTGCTTTAGGTGCCCTAACGCACCTTAAATCCGTTAGGTGGCAATTCTTTCAAATCCAATTCCCTACCCTCACGGAAAGGAGTTGTCCTAGAAATGTCGAAACCCGATTTCGCGAGAAAAAGGGGGCGCGACAGTAGGTATTATCAAATACAAAGAGAAATTGCAGGGGTGTCTCAGGGTTCTTCTGATATTTCTAGTTACTACACTAGGCTTAGGAAACTCTGGGATGAGTTAAAGACTGCTGCATTTGGTCCAGCATGCACTTGTGGGGCTGAGCCACAATGCGGTGATGGTCAGAAGCTTATTCATTTCCTCACAGGGTTGAATGAGACTTACTCAAATGCTAGGAGTAATATCCTTATGATGTACCCTGTCCCAACTCTGGGTAAAGCTTACTCCATTCTTCTTCATGATGAGAGTCAAAGAGAAATTCAGCCATATGGTGGTTCATTTCTCTCAGAATCAGCTTCCTTTTCTGTGAAATCTACACCTGCCCCTGCTCAGTTCACCAATGGTCCCAAATCCTTTCCCCAGAAAGTCAATTTTGACATCAAAAGTACAACTCTTGTTTGCAAATACTGTAAAAAGACTAGGCATTCTGTTGACAAATGCTACAAACTCCATGGGTTCCCAAGTGACTTCAAATTCACAAAAGGTAGAAAGTCTAATGCTTGTGCTCAAGTTGACACTTCTACATCAGAGGATCAGTAGTTTTCTGAGAATATCACCAACAATCCTGTCCATGGGTTCAGCAAGGAACAATACCAGCATCTCATGAGCTTATTTCAATAATCTCACATCTCTCCTTCTCAAGATTCAACTGGAAACACTACTGCAATGGCTACTTGTGCCGGTGTGGTCTATAGTCTTGTTGTTTACTCTCTTGCTTTGTGTTGTGCTTCACAATTAAAAATCAACACCTGGATTCTAGATTCAAGTGCAACCAACCACATGACACCTAATCAACACCTGTTACACAAAATCCAATTTTTGCCTTTTCCTTATCTTGTTACACTTCCAAATGGTTATAAGGTCAAAGTTCATTGCACTGGTTCTTTACAACTATGTGATGATTTGATTTTATCAAAAGTCATCTTAGTACCTTCCTTTCAATTCAATTTAATCTATGTGCCTCAACTAGTTGCACAACTTTCTTCACCAAAATTTTCTGTTATTTACAGGGCCCTTCTCTGAGGAGGCCATTGGAAATTGGTAGAGCAGCAAATGGACTTTATGTCATTGATTCTGCAGTCACTCTACCAACACCTACATCATCTGTACATAACATCACAAATAAAAGATCAGTCAGTTTACCACAGTATACTCTTCTTGTAAATAACATTTCAAATTAGGCATCAGCTACTTTGTGTGATTACAGTGCTTGCATCTCTACTTGTAATCCTGATTGATTAATAAAACTGATATTTTCTGGAATCAAAGACTAGGCCATATGCCCTTTCATAGAATGAAATCTATTGAATTCTTATCTGATAAGTTGTCTTCTAAACAATCTTTTATTTGTCCAGTGTGTCCTTTAGCCAGACAACAGAGATTGCCTTTTCTGGATAGTTCTATTAAATCCACTAAACCTTTTGAATTAGTCCACATTGACCTATGGGGTCCTTATTACACTAGAACATATAATGGTTTTAGATATTTTTTAACCATTGTAGATGACTTTTCAAGGGTAACTTGGATACACTTACTTTCTTGTAATGGTCAAAACTCACTTTAACCTCCCTGTACAAACTATTAGGTCAGACAATGCCTTTGAACTTGGTTCTAGTACCAAGGCTTCATATTTTTTTGCTGAGTTTGGCATTCTCCACCAAACTATCATTCCCCATACTCCTCAACAAAATGGTGTAGTTGAGAGAAAGCATAAGCATCTTCTGGAAACTTCTAGAGCATTACTATTACAATCCAAGCTTCCAATTAAGTATTGGGGTGACTGTGTGCTCACAACTACCTATCTCATTAATAGGTTTCTTTCCACTGTCCTTCAAAATCTTTCCCCTTATCACAAACTACATGAACATCCTCCTACTTATGCTCATCTAAGAACCTTTGGTTGTCTATGTTTTGCAACTATACCAAAGGTCAAGAGAGATAAATTTCAGCCAAGAGCCTATCCTTCTCTTTTTCTGGGGTACCATTTAGGGAAAAAAGGCTACAAGTTATTAAATCTAGCTAATCATTCCATTTTCTACTCTAGGGATGTGGTCTTTCATGAACACATTTTCCCTTACCATTCATCTTCACCTCCTTCTGGCTTCCGTGTAATTTCTGATCCTTTTGTGGATTCTCAAACTTCTCTTTGTTCTCCTACCTCATCTGTACCTCCTCCTTCTTCTTCTGTTCCTCCTCCTTCTCCCATTCATTCTTCTCACTTCCCCAGTCAGTCATCACCTCACTCCTTAAGTCAGTTCCCTTCTCCTCCTTCCTCTCCTCGACTCATTACTACTGCACAACCTCTCCCTCTTAGGAAGTCCACCAGAGTCTCCTATGTTCCAACCTATCTCAAGGACTATATTTGTTCATCTTTTTAGCTCCCTGCCTCTCTACCCTCTGAACCTCAGTACTATCAGCAAGCTGCACCACATCCTGCCTGGCAGGAAGCTATGGAAAAGGAATTCCAGGCCTTAGATGCTAACTCCGCATGGGACATTGTGCCTCTTCCACCTGGGAAGAAGGCCATCCCTTGTAAATGGGCGTACAAAATCAAATAAAAGTCTGATGGTTCCATTGAAAGGTATAAGGCTAGATTAGTGATTAGGGATGATTCTCAAAAGGAGGGCATTGATTACTTTGAAACTTTCAGTTCTGTTGTTAAGATCACAACTATCGAATGTCTCCTTACCCTTGCTATCAAACACAATTGGAATGTACACCAAATGGATGTCAATAATGCCTTTCTCCATGGTGACCTTAATGAAGAAGTTTACATGAAGATCCCTTTAGGTCTATCTGTTGAGTCTACATCTTCTGATGTTCCCTTAGTTTGCAAATTGAAGTAATCGCTCTATGGGCTAAAACAAACTTCTAGGCAATGGTTTCCAAAGCTTTCAGAGTCTCTTGTTTCACGAAGCTACTCTCCTAGAAAGAATGACTCCTCTCCTTTTACCAAAGTGACTCCAACTTCAATTGTTCTACTTGTTGTCTATGTGGATGATCTTTTTTTGGCTGGCAATGATAATGCTGAAATGCTAAGCCTGAAGTCCTTCCTTGATCATCAATTCAAGATCAAGGACCTTGGGAGTGTCCATTATTTTTGGGTCTTCAGATTTCTAAGGTGGATCAGGGGTTTCTTATCAACCAACAAAAGTACACAAAGGAGATCCTCTCTGAATTCCACTGTTCAGAGGTCAGACCACCTCTCACACCCCTTGATCCTCATATCAAATTATCTGTTGATTCAGGGGAAGCTCTTCCTGATCCTACTGTCTATAGAAGATTAATTGGCAAGCTGAATTTCCTTCAACATACCAGGCCTGGCATCTCTTATTTAGTGCAACATCTCAGTCAATTTCTTGTGTCTCCTAGAGCGCCCCACATGCTGGCCGGTTTGCATGTTCTCAAATACCTCCTCAATGATCCTGCCCAAGGCATTCTACTAAGTGTTGCCCCTGATTTCTCCTTAAAAGCTTATGCAGATTCTGACTGGGCTGCTTGCCCCATTTCCAGAAGGTCTGTGACTGGGTATTATGTGGTTCTTGGTGATTCCCCTATTTCCTGGAAATCTAAGAAACAACCTACTGTCTCTCTTTCTTCTGCTGAGGCGGAGTATAGAGCTTTAAGGAAGGTTGTTGCTGAGGTGGTTTGGCTTACAAGACTGTTAGCTGACATGGGGCTATCTATTACTGCTCCTGTCCCTATTTTGTGTGATAGTTAGGCTGCCCTCCACATTGCCAGAAATTCTATTTTTCATGAAAGAACCAAACACATTGGAGTAGATTGTCACTATGTGAGGGATGTGCTTTCTTCTGGGCTTATTGTTCTTGAACATGTCTCTTCTGCCGATCAACTTGCTGATGTTCTGACCAAGGCTTTGACAGGTGTTCCTCACCATAAACTCTTGTGCAAGCTGGGTGTGCACTCACCCTCCAGCTTGAGGTGGGGTGATAGACTAAAGAAGCTATTGGACTTAAACCCAGGATAGTTTTCTTTTCTGCTTTATTAGGTCTCTTTTATAGTTGGGCCACCTTTTCTTTCTTTTATATTGGGAACCGGCCCATGTCCGGATATTATTTATTATTGGACTAAATTGTACATACTAATAGACTGTTTGAGATCTATTGAAGATATAGATCATTTTTTCTCTTTCTATTTACTCGATGGTTTCTTAGCTTCACTCTAACACCGACTAGAACCTAGGGTATTCTCATATTCATTCTTGCAAATTCAATCTCTTCTCACAAGTTAACAAAGAGAAATTAAGCAACTAAGATAGAAGTTTGGACGGAGGTTTCTGGATTTTTTCTTTTTGAATTTTGAAAGATCATGTATATTAATTAGTTTCAATCTACAGCAACTGTTATCATGAAATATGAGTTTGTTAATAACCAGGTACACAGTGCCAATAAACTTGAAAAATTGTTGACTGATTCTTCTAATATTTAATTTGCGCCTCTCCTCTTTCTCTGTTTTCTTTTTATCGTGAATGGAAAGAGAAAAAGAGAAAAACAAGAAGAGGCTATGTGCATCTGGAAATGATAGTTATTTAACAAGCGACAAGTTCTTTGAGGATTACAAACAAGAAAGAGTTCAATCATTTAATGATGGATAAATTAAGCAACTTAATTAACTTTTAATTAGGTCATATTATATTATAATGGCTCAAAAATTTTACCAATCATAAAAGGGATAACATATATTTGTCAAAGCAACGTGAACAATCATTTGATGTACTCGGAATGGTAAAATTCTCACTACTTTTTTTGTCCAGTTAGAGAATGTTACTACAATTTGAATTATAATTCCACTAGATTTTTAACTTCAATAATCAATAGTATTATCTTTTTGGAGGTTAGCTAATTCCACTTCGTATCATCAAGACCCATCCACCCTTAATCAAAGCCTAGAGAATAAAAAAATTCCGACAAGGAGTGTTTCCTCTCAGGGGCGTATCTAGGTTAAGGGGCGTGGGTTCACGTGAACCTATGTTCCTCGTCATAAACCATGTATAATAGTATTATATTTCTTTAAAAAATGCTTAAATATATGTGTGTGCACCCATGCTCAAAGACTCCTATGGTGCATAATTATTAAGTGCACTTCTACAAGTGAAATTGACGGTTCAAATCCTATACGGGACAATCATGTTTTCGGCACGAAGTATAGATATATATGTTAAAATCACTAAAATTTCAAAAAAAATATAATTTTGAACCTGTAATTTTAAAAATGTAGTGAGTTCAAGGTAAAAAAAAACTAAAGTTAAACATGTTAATTGTAAATTCTAAACCATCTCTTCACAATAGTGCACCCATCTTCTTGAGATTTTGGATCCGCCTTTGTTCCTCTCCTAATGGGCCTTACACTGTGCGAATTTGAATTAATCGAAGCCCCTATCATAGTATCGGACTCTGAATAGAAAACTAAAAAATGCCAAAATTTCACGGTATAGCCAGTTTTCAGACTGATCAATCAAAAATAGCCAGCATTTACCAAGTCAATGAAAAATAGCCACCGTTTTGCTGAAACAGAGACCGGTCCAGCATAATATACTGGAGTTCGGTGCACTTGTGTATGAACTCCAGCATATTATGCTGGACCGGTATACTTTGCTGGCTCCAGTATAATATACTGGAGACTGGAGCACTGGAGCACTGGTGCTCCAAACTCCAGTATATTATACTAGACCATTATACTTGCTGGAACTCCAGTATATTATGCTGGAGTTCTAGTGTATTTATGCTGGAACTCCATCATATTATGCTGAAGTTCCAGCATACTATCCTGGAACTCCAGTATAATATGCTGGAGTTCAAGTATACTTATGCTGGAACTCCAGCATAATATACTGGAGTATTTTCCGGGTTTTGAACAGTGTTTTCGCTCAGATTTATCTTTATATAAAAAGTGGTTAAATTTCGATTACTTTTGAAATTGGGCTATTTTTGAACGACCAATTGTAAATCTGGCTATTTTTAAAAATCACCCCTAAAAAATTCCACTTGGCCGGAAGCGCAACTCTGAGTTATGAGTTATGGCCAAGTTTCTCAAATAAAAGCACTCCTGATGTAGAGGGCGTTTGGCTAAACTTATAAGCTGGTCAAACTAGCTTATAAGCACTTTTCGGCTTATCTACGCGTTTGGTAAAGTTAAAAGTGCTTATAAGCCAAGTGCTTATAAATCAAAAATAAGCCAAAAGCCACTTTAAGTTTGACCAAGATTTTTACTATTTTATCCTTAAAATATTCTTTTTTAGAACAAAACTCCTACATCGATATTCACTGCCTCAAATATTCATCCTAAACTCCCCTCCTCCCCCCCCCCCCCCTCCCCCGATCTCTTCAAGTCTGTATGTAATAAATGAGACATATCAAATTTTTGGTGTATTTCTTTTTAAGTGTTGTGGTGATGAAGACAATGTTTGTTTCTCATCAAATAATTTGTCCTATTTAGGTTTATTTTTTACTGAGAACCTTTTGTCAATATATTAATCATTAACTTATGGTTATATGCTTATCATAAAATAAATTATATTTATTATAAAAATTATCTTATCTAAGCACAATTATAGTTAAAATAAAATGATAAATATAATATTTTGTATTTGAATCGATCTGGAATCTAAACTTTTGAAGAAATTACGCCCTTATAAGTGTAAACAGTTCTAAGGTTATTTAAGTCATTTTAATAGAAATACTGCAGCAACTTATTATCAATTTCAGCACTTGTACCCAAACACGTAATTGCTTATTTATTAAATCAGTTTCAGCACTTAAAAGTGCTTATCAGCACCTAATGCTTATCAGCTACTTCAAATCAGCTAATCCAAACGGGCTCCTAGCTGTGCTTACCCACTGTCCCCCGTCTATTGCTGAAGGATCTTTTACTGATCTTTATGCATTGACTGGATGATTTTTCTAGAACTTGGGAAATTTCCTTAACCAACATTTATGATTTACATATATCATCTTTTACTTTGAAGCTTAATTATTAGCCGAGGGTCTATCGAGAAACAGTTTCTTTGCCTTTTCAGGGTAGGGGTAAGGCTGCATACATCCTACCCTTCTCAGACCCCACTTGTGGGACCACACTGGGCTGCTGTTGTTGTTACTTTGAAGCTTAATTATGTGTTGTATACTCCCTCCGATCCAAAATAAGTGATTTTTTGGCCTTTTTCTTGTGGTCCAAAATAAGTGATTTTTTCAGATTTCAAGAATGAATTAATTATTTTTTGCCTACATTGTCCTTGGAGTAAATAGTGTTGGAATATGTGTTGGGAGTGTTTATGTGAGATAGTAAAGGTTAATATGGTCAATTCTATTGTTAATTAATGCTAAAAGGTGGATTTCTTAATCTGTGTGAAAATATTCAAAAAATTACTTATTTTGGACCGGACGGAGTATTACTTAAAATTTTTCTCCTTATACGTTCAATTTCACGTATAAAGCGTACACAAGTTCAAGTTACAATGCCAACAAAGTTTTAGTGCCAAACTACCAGTTTTATTACTGAACTTTTATCCAGTTAAAGTTATTTCTGAACTTCTTTTGGTATTGCACCAGGCATCAGCCATTTCATTCCACACATTGCTTTAAACTGAACAAGAATCAGTGAATCAGCCGAGCTTTACTTTACAAAGAAAAATCACAGCTATACAATAGGTACTAAAAGCATTACTTTCCAAAAGAGTGCTTATATAGGGTGGCTGTACTGGTAAAAGGGAAAAAGTTACGTGACATACATACGTTGAATGGTAGGCACATTAAAAGTAATCATTAAGGCGATGTCTAATCTTGCTTGACACTGACTGATCACTTGAATAGGATGAGACTAATTGACCCACATCTATTCGCATATCCTTAATGCTCTCAATAATCAATTATAAGTAAATATTTTTATTGCTCCACAATGATCTTGCCTGTGGCATGTCCATCAATCATCTTGGCCCAAGCATCTTGAGCTTTGCTTAGAGGATGTTTGGAGTCAACCACAGTCTTAAACTTCCCTTCCTTCACCAATCTAACAAGCAACTTCAGTTCCTTATCTCCTTTAGGAATCAAAATAAATGGCAGCAACTGCTTTTTGGAGAAGGTCAGTTTCTGAATTACATAGGTGCATATTGCACTAAGTCCAGGAGTCAGATCAATGACCTTACCACTCTCACTCAAATTAGGCTCAAATGTTGACCAGGGAATGCCTTTAGCACAGTGAACCACTGCATCATATTTCTGTCCTGATGGACTCTTAAGAGTTGCACCTTCTGGTGTCTTGTAATCAAGAACCTCATCTGCTCCTAAGCTCTTTACAAATTCAATGTTACGAGCTCCACATGTCCCTGTAACATGTGTATTACCTAGCTTTGCCAATTGAACAGCATAGTGTCCAACACCGCCCGAGGCAGCCGTGACAAGAATGTTCATACGCGGTCCACTTCCATCTAATTTAATTCCAGCAACATCAACAAGGGCCTTGTGTGCTGTAAGAGCAGCAATTGGAAGGGCTGCACCTTCAGCAGCCGATACATTTTCTGGCCTTGGAACAGTCAAGCTCTCCTTTGCGACTGCATACTCAGCCAATCCGCCCCCTATCTGTTATCAATCACATGAGTATATTTATGTTACAACTATCATACATAAGTTTATATTTTGTGCACTGACAGTGCAAAGAATTTTTACGCTATCAAGTTAAGTTGGTTCACAACAACAGGTAACTCGCAGACTGATATGGTAAACTGAAGAAATAGTATAATATCTGCAATAACTGGTTAAATTGCATTGATAATATATTCTTTAGACTGTCAATATATATAACGTAAGTTCATCATAATAAGGCAAAAAGATCAAGTTGATGAGGTTACTTTCTAATAATGGTAGCAGACACCAAAATAAAATAAGATACAGAGACGATTGTTTTTGTGCTTGTGTGTAAATTTAGAGCCTTAGCAGGTGCATAAATATGCAAGACTAACATAATAAAAACAAGTCAAATGAAAAGAAATTAGACTTACAAGAAGATTAAGAATAGCCACAACTTTGTCACCAGCCTTGAATTTTACAACACTAGATCCAACCTCTACAACCTCCCCTGCTACATCAGTACCTGCTCCTCACAAAAAATGCAGTATTAAAAGTATATAATATAAATTAGAAGACTATAAATGATGAGCTAGAAAGGGGTTAGGACCTTAATTTTGTATTCCGAATAAAGGATCAAATGTGATAGATTATTGCAATTACCAGGTATAACAGGAAATTTTCGAGTAACAAAAGGACGATTGGCACCGTTCTGAAATCTCAAGTCTAATGGATTTAAGCTTGTAGCCTCCAACTTTAACAAGACCTCATCCTTTTCTGGAGTAGGCACTGGAACTTCAACATGCTGCAACAAGCAATATATGTGCATCAATCAGTAATTTGGCTACAACCTTGCTCTGTATTACTTTTGCATTCTTCAAAATACACCAAAAAATTACAATCTCTGTATAAATACTTAATACACACCAGATACGTACTCCTTCCCGGTTCCATGTAACATAGGCCTTATTCATGACACTTGCATAAAATAGAAATTAAAATTCTTATGCTCCAGTTAACAGTCATAGAATTTGTTCTCACAGTGCAAAAAATAAAATTTATAGTATAAGAGAACTCCATGTAGTCGTTCGTCCATAAGAAGTGGGATTAGTAACCTAGAAAATAAGATATGTTACCAACTTAACATAGACTGATATGCTTAAAAAAATTCTCTATTGCCAATATATACAAGATAAATCCTTAATTGTACATAGAGAGTTTCCATCCAAAAGAATGGAGAGAAAGTACCTTCAAGCCAGCAGCTCCACCTCCATAAGAGTCGTACTGCACCGCGCGCATTAGCTTCACTGCCATACCAGTTACTATTTCACTTCATTGTCCTATTTCTTCAGCGGCAGTATTTAAAATGATTGAGGACGAATATTAAGCAATATTTTGCATTTAAATGGTTGAAAAGTGGTGCTAGTCATCATTTCCTCCTTCCTAGTATTTTCCAAGGAGAATAGTCAACCGTGTATATATAGTCGTTGGAATATCGATTGTCACTAGTTAAAAAACTAAGGTCGAAAATTGAAATTGCTTTGACTCATGGAAATAGTCAATTGTTGCCTTGTTGGAATGGGGTACCTTGAGTACTCTTAATTCCGAAGAGATCATATAGTAGATTGTCAACCATTTGAATCCATTCTCTTGAAGATCAAGTTGTGTATCCAAATGTAATAAGCAAAATAAATATATTAAAATTGAAGAAAGCAGTTGTATTTTATGTTGCACCATTTGGGCCTATTCAAACAAAATTGTCATTTCCTAGGGAACTCACCTTTCACTAGACCACCAGCCACCAAGAACTTTTTCTTTTTGTTCTTTCTTTTCGAATGTTATATGGTCAAAGCGAGAACATCGCCTCTTATTATTGATCATTCTTTCAAACAGGGCAAAGTAAAGCTTTTTATTCAGAGAATTGCACACTAAAGCTGACTGGACTTTTAACCAGTGAGAAATTTGAACAATAATGTGATGTACTCTTAATGGTAAAATTTCAATAACGGTTTGAGAATATTACTACAAAATTTCAATGACAGTTCGAATAGAGTTTAACCTCATCCTCTTGGAGATTAGCCTTTTGTTTTTTGGGCAAGCTTCTTGGAGATTGGCTAATTCCACTTGTTTTGAAAGGGGGAACTCTGAGTTATGTCAAGCTTTTTATTTACACCATCTACTGCTGAGGGTTCTTTTACTGATCTAGGTGCACCTCATGCTTAGACAGGATGGTTTTTCTATAACTCGAGTCAATCAACATTTGGATATATCATCTTTTGCTTTGAAGCTTAATTATGTGTGTTTTTATATTTACTTAAAAGCTTTTCTTCTTAATTATAATGCTAATCTATGTTCAATTTCATGTAAAAAGCGTACTCAGGTTCAAGTTACAAGGTAACCTCGTTTTAACCTCAAACTACCAGTTTTACTGCTGGATTTTTAGCCTGTCCAAGTTATTTCTTAACTTTTTCTGGTATTGCACCATCAGGCATCAGCCATTTCATTTTACACATTGCTCTAAAACCACCCGCATTTTATAATGAAAAGCTACAGCTATACTATATGCTCTAAAGGCATTACTTTCTGAAAGAGTGCTTATTACACGGTGGCTGTAAAGGTAAAAAACAAAAATTACGTTACAATACATAAGTGGTAGGCACATTACAGACACAATCATTGAGGCGATTTTCAATCTTGCTGATCACTTTGAATAGATTGAGATTGATCGATCTACATCTATTGGCATAATCCGTAATGCTCTATGAGACACCAATATTGCCACATTTAGATCGATTGAAAAACAATTAAGTTTATATCTCCACAATAATCTTCCCCGTGGCATGTCCATCAAGGCTCTTGGCCCAAGCATCTTGCGCCTTGCTTAGAGGATGCTTGGAGTCAAATACAGTCTTAAGCTTCCCTTCCTTTACCAACCGGACAAGCAACTTCAGTTCCTTATCTCCTTTAGGAATCAAAATCAATGGCAGCAACTGCTTTTTGGAGAAGGTCAGTTTTTTTAATACATAGGTGCACATTGAACTAGGCCCGGGAGTCAGATCAATGACCTTGCCTGTGTCACTCAAATTAGGCTCAAATGTTGACCAGGAAATTCCTCTAGCACAGTGAACCACTACATCATATTTATGGCCTGATGGACTCTTAAGAGCTGCTCCTTCTGGCGTCGTGTAGTCAAGAACGTCATCTGCTCCCAAACTCTTTACGAAATCAATGTTACGAGCTCCACATGTCCCTGTAACATGTGTATTACCTAGCTTTGCCAATTGAACAGCATAGTGTCCAACACCACCCGAGGCAGCCGTGACAAGAATGTTCATACGCGGTCCACTTCCATCTAATTTGATTCCAGCAACATCAACAAGGGCCTTGTGTGCTGTAAGAGCAGCAATTGGAAGGCCCGCCCCTTCAGCAGCCGATACCTCTTCTGGCCTTGGAACAGTCAAGCTCTCCTTTGCAACTGCGTACTCCGCCAATCCGCCTCCAATCTGTTTTTAAGCACACGCAAAATTTTATGTTTTGTGCATTGACATTTTAAAGAATGTTTTCACTATCAAATTAAGCTGACCTCGAATAATATGGTAGCCTGAAAATAGTGTAATAACTTGCAATACCCGGTTAAATTTAACTAGTAGTATAATAATTCTTTACACTTAACTCATCATGTTAAAGCAAAAAGAAACACTCAAAACAATGCAAGGGAAACACTCAAAACGGATGGGAATCGGACTTACAAGTGTATTAAGAAGTGCCACAACTTTGTCACCAGCCTTAAATTTTACAACATTGGGTCCAACTTGTACAACCTCCCCTGCTACATCAGTACCTGCACTTCATTATGTCAGTATTAAAAGTGCATATTGTCCTCATTTTGTATTCTGAAGAAGAGATTATATTATATGTCATAAATTATTATTGAACTTACAAGGTATTACGGGAAATTTGCGAGGAATAAAAGGACGAGCCACACCTTTCTGAAATCTCAAGTCTACTGGATTTAAGCTTGTTGCTTCCAACTTTAGCAACACCTCATCCTTGGCTGGAGTAGGCACTGGAACTTCAACATGCTGCAAGAAGCAATACAGGTGATGTGCATCAATCAAAATTTGGATATTTCGTCACTGTACAAATACCTACACACCCAAATATGTACCCCTTCCGGGCTCCGTGTAACATAGGCTTTATTCATGTCAACATAAAATGGAAATCGAAATTTTTATGCTTGAGTTACTAATAGTATAAATGGCTTATGCTGAGGTAACAAGGTTTTGATGAAATAATTAAAGTGCGCGCAAATACTATTCAAAAGAAATGCAGAGCAAATACCTTCAAGCCAGCAGCCCCGCCTCCATAAGAATCGTACTGGACTGCGCGCATTAACTTAGCCATGACTGCTAATTCTTCATTCAAACTAATTTCACTTCGCCATCCTACTACTTCAGTAGCAGTATTTAAACTGAGATTGGGAACCAACGCATGTTGAAAAGTGGTGCTAGTTAGTGTATCCTACCAACGTTGAAGCAAATATTCTAAGTTTTCAATTGTTGAAAAGTCGTGCTAGTCAGCGTTTCCTCCTTTCCTACTATTTGCCTAGGTGAATAGTCCTTCTTTATAGTCGTGGCATAACGATTATCACTTGTTACAAAACTAGTTTACTCTATTGACTAGTCGAAATATCACTTGTTGCCGTGTTGGAGTTTTGTACCTTGAGTATTAATGATTGCGAAGAGATAATATTATGGATTGTCAACCCAATCGAATCCATTTTCTTGAAGATCATGGTGTATACAAACGCAGGCATACAGACAAATGTAAACAAAATAAACATATTAATTAAGATTGAATAAATCAATTGTATTTCATTTATTTCACTGTTGGATCGTTTTGGGCCTATTTGAACAAAAATGACATTATCTAACTACACGTTTATACCGTTTCTAATCAATCTTGCGAGAGATTTAGTAAATCAGGTTGATGGCAAATCCTCTGCAGCTTATTGTATTGTAAATGGAGATGTTGAGCCTCTTAACGTGGCCTAAGAAGTATAAGCCGAGGACTAGACGGTAGTTGAATAAGTGGTAGACTTCCCTAGGCTTAAACGCTCTGCTGAACCGTGTGGTCCATACGTACCTATTAGAAAATTAGAAAATAAAAGAAAAGGGAAAGAAATGATGGCAAAACAACTCTGGGACGAAATAGAGACTTGGCAACCAATTGCATAGTCCCAATTGCAGATTGAAATCCAATCTTTTGACTGGTTAATATGGGCGGCCATTCTTTCTATATAAGGGGAGCTTCATCTCTTATTTATAACACACCAATTTCACACAAAAATATCTGAGTGTTAAAAAGAGCATTGTGACTGTGAGGTAGGGGTGTCTAACGGGTGGGCCGGGCTGGGTAGGAAAAATTACTAACCTTACCGGTTGAGTTTCGGGCCGGTTACGGGTTGGGGCTTACCGGGTTCGGGTTCATCGGGGTAAAAAATGAACCGTACGGGTTATGGGTACAAGGGGCCGGGCCGGGTTAGTGTAATTTTTAATTTTTTTTTTTGTATTTTGTATAACTATTATAAGTTATATTAATATAAAGTAAAAATATAAAGAATACAATGAAGATGGGAAAAATTGCACTTATAAATTGCAAGTGCTATATTTATTTCAAAATTACAAAATTGAAGTTTGCATTTAACAAGTAAATTAACAAAAAAAGAGTAAAACTAAATTTTCATGCATAATAATACTTCAAATTAATCTAATAAACTAAAACATTAAGCATAAATATGTCTAATAATTTTAAAATAACACAAATTGTCTCAAATAAACTTAAATACGAATTTCTGGAGGACGCTCAAGACAACTCTTCATATGCCTCCTTAAACTGCCCGTGCCACACTTTGGACGAAGATTTAAGACTCGACCACAATTCTTGCACTTTACTTTCTGAACTTCTTTATTTTCTTCTACCACCTCAAAGTGTTCCCAAACATATGAGCGCACTCTAGAAGTACGGGGCATGATTTAACTTGAATTGAGAATTTGAGTTTGAGAAATGAGAGATGAGTGAAGAAATGAAGAAAAGAGGGGGAGGGTGGGGGGTGTATTTATAGTTTTTCAAAGGGTTAAATTTATAATTACAAAAAGTGTTAATTTAAAAAAAAGGCCCAAAAAAGGGCTAATTGTGCAAATCAGCCGTTGGGCAACGGCTCCTTGGCAGGTGATCGTTGCCAACGGTAACCAACATTTAAAAAAATAATAAAAAAGAAACTAGCCGTTAACCGGTCTGGACCGGTCCAGTCCGGGCCAGTTTAACCGGTTCT